GTTTGCTATGCGAATTAATGCTTTGAACACATTTATTTTTTTACAGGTAAATAACCGCACTTACTAACGAGTTACGATTCATAGGGTGATCCTCCCAGGGGTAGCATGCGAAGGGAAGTCATGTGACAGGCCAAAGTGACCGTGTGCAGATCTAGATGGGCAGGCATTTAGGCAGATGCAGCGGTCTCACCATAGATCATGTTCAGTATGGGTTTTCTGTTGTCTAGATAACTGCCGTTGTTTTGTCGCCGGAGGGCTATGTAACTGAGCTGAAACACTATACCCCCCCTACACGCTGCAAGGTATTGCAGTATTGCATGAATTACAACACCACAACCTGAGCAATCACACAGCATACCCACAAAATCAAATAGGCAACACGCAGCAACTCACAAAGCAGAGAAAACACACAGAAACCTGAGCAAAGCCTTCTTTCAGAAAAAAAACTCCAAATCAAAGAGAAGACACCGAGCAAGACACAATCGAACTGAGCAGAACATATAGATTTTTTTTTTAAAAAAAAATACTTTACTTCGTGTGATCCCCACCATGGCATTTATACATTTTGTTACTGGCAAATCTTCTGACATTCTATCTGACATATTTTCTGGCATTCGATCTGGCATTCTATCTGGCATATCTTCTGGCATTCTACCTGGCATATCTTCTGGCAGGTGTTCTGGCATATCTTCTGGCAGATGTTCTGGCTTATCTTCTGGCATATCTTCTGGCATATGTTCTGGCATATCTTCTGGCATTCCATCTGGCATTCTATCTGGCATATCTTCTGGCATATTATCTGGCAAATCTTCTGGCATTCCATCTGGCATTCTATCTAGCATATCGTCTGGCATATTATCTGGCAAATCTGCTGGCATTCTATCTGGCAAACATTCTGGCACTTTATCTGGCATATCTTCTGGCATTCTAGCTGACATTCTATCTGGCATTCTATCTGGCTTACCTTCTGGCATTCTATGTGGCATATCTTCTAACATTCTATCTGGCATATCTTCTGGCACTCTATGTGGCATATCTTTTGGCGTGGATACTCGCGGTTGAGGTCCGGCAGGGAACGCTGGGCGTGGATGGTCGTGGTTGAGGTCCGGCAGGGAACACTGGGCGGGGATGGTCGTGGTTGAGGTCCGGCAGGGAACACTGGGCGTGGATGGTCGTGGTTGAGGTCCGACAGAGAACACTGTGGATCGCGAGTCGCAGTTGAGCAGGAGGACGAGGAGGACAACGAGAGGAGGAGGAGAGGAGAGGAGGAGGAGGAGGACCAGGCAACTGACATAAAATCTAACAACCCTCACCTGGCAGGTGGGGAATATGAATAAATAATGAAAGTAAATACAAAAAATTAAATAAATAAAAATAAAAATAACGATTAAATGAAAAGACAAATAAATATTTTATTTATTTATTAAATAAAGTAAAAAAAATAAGCAGATAAAAGGTGTTGCATCCGATAAGGGGTCTTTGGAATTTGATTCTAGGGTCCTTGGTGATTTAGTTCTACCTCTAATTGTGTGATATACGTTTTCCAACATTTATTTCTTTATCTATCATATCTATCAAGGTAGGTCGCCTTGGTGTATACTGGTGAAATTTATCCCAAAGGAAAATCGTATTGGCTTAGTACCCCTTGGATGTTTCAATATTATTGAGTCTTATCCGTCATTCGGTAGTCATGCCAAGAAGAGGATTGATAATTAGCCTCTCCATCCATTTACCCTTCTACTCGTGGAAGTACCAGTCAGAACAAACGATCACCATTCAATCATAGTTCAGATATGTTTTTTTGGTTGAGTACTTAGATAAAACACGAAATAAAATATTGTTATGCAACGGATTTGCGGTGGCGATGGACTTGGGGTCCCCCGAGCCAAAAGATCGGCAAGAAAATATTCTTTCGGCATAAATCTCAAATGAAGGACCCCGAATCCAAGCCCCGAAAAATCATGGTAGAATATAATAGTAAAGCTGTTTCCTATGTCCAAATGCAAATTTCTGCACCCTGACATCGGGGAAAAAAATCCTAAACCCCAGGGTACAACCTCCGTATTGCCCAAGTCTAGGTGCAGAAACCCGCACCTTGACTTAGGCAATACCCCACCAAGCACCTAGGACATCGACTTTTTTTTTTGCCTAAGTCAAGGTGCAGATTTCTGCACCCTGAGTTCGGCAAAATTCAAAACTGGACATTGCATTTAAAGGATTTATGATGTAGACATAGAAGAATGTGGAAATTTAGTACTTGAAAAAAACAAGTGATCATCAGGCATAATATTGGTGGCTTTATACCAAAAAGGTATATGGGGGCACCACCCTAGAAGAAACATGACCGTGGTTGATACCTATTCCATTTTAATCCAGCAATTGGTCGGGTACCCTTCAAAGGGAAATGGTAGTGGACCCCTTTTATTCCAAAAAAATGATAGAAAAAATAATCGTAATCGATACTGGGATGATACCATATGATACCAACTTAATCAACCAATTGGTTGCCTAAGAGTGAAAATAATACTTCACATATGATTATCCATGCGCATGGTAGAAAACAAATAGATACATTAAATAACCAATGGTAAGATGATACACATTTAATCAACCAATTGGTTACCTCATAGGGGAAATAATAAGGTACCTATAATACAATTCAATTCCACCTTATATAAAATATTTGGAAAGACCCAAGAATCCATTTCCAGAGACCCCAGATCAATTGCAAAACCTTATAAATAAATAAAAATAAATAAATAAATAAATACATATATACATATACAAATATAAATATATATATATATATAATTTATATATGGGATAACCTTGTGGGACTTCTGACCCAGCACTTTTGACCCCTTGGATCCGTGGGATGATCCTCCCAGGTTTGGTCGCACGGGGTTTTTGCGAAACCAGCAATGGATTGGGAACCGATGCAAGCCACACAGGTCTCCAGCACATGTGGCCACCAGGGCTTGCAAGGTCGGCTGTGATTAAAAGGGAGGGCACCTGATGGCAGTCCAGCTGGCAGAGACATGGAGATAACAAATCATCCGAATGGATGAAACGCCGAAAATAAATAAACCATGGGCCATGCACCAACTTGAAGTACAAGTAGTGAGAAGAAGGGTTGGAAAACAAAGAGCTCACATACATCTGGCGTCAAAATTCTGACCAGCCATGTAGGTGTGGTTCAAAGCTCCGGTTTCCTGGTGATTTCCTCAACTATCTAGAGGATAATTCTGAGGTCGCTTATGTCCCACTATTGGAAACCAAAGGTTATCGGATCGAAGGGAAAGCCTATTGGAAACCAAATGGCTTAAACTCAATATAGAAGTTTCCTGTAAGATTAAAAAGCCATCCCGATAAGATACAATACACGCATGGAAAGTTTTCTGGTATTGATCCCGTGGTATTTTCATCTATCATCCAAGTCCCGAATTCCAAAACATTTTAAGTTTCTGGCCACCCAGGAAGGTTCTAGTAGTCCGGCGGTAGAGCCGTAGGCTTGAATGTGCACATCTGCTAGAAACAGAATAATAGCAATTTTAGAACCCCAGCTATGCATATGGAAATATCCCCAGTTGTATTGGTCTTCTCTGGGTTGCACACCGGGAAGAGCTGACGGGCTGGAATGTGAGAATGTGTAAGCTGCATTTTATGGGGCGGACTTGCATTTTGATCTTTACACATTTTGATCGTCAAATCCACCAAATTTAACGTATAGCCTACCTGCAGTAATTTGTTGCTGGCTTCATTCCATCAATGGGATGCTGTACAACCTGCACCCTTCATGGTGGGAATTTCGCACATCCTGATGGGATGCAATATGATAAATGATACGATGGCTGCAGGCAGAAATTCTAAATAAACAAATTGCTACGATAGGTGAAGAGATATGACATAATTCTGTACTGTATGCATATATAATTCGAGATTCTGTAGGGAATGCTGGACACAACCAACAGCTGCTATACTCCATAAACTTTGGCCATGCCTACTATGTACAACCTGGGCCACGGCCAGTGGCACTCTGGCACGGTGTCATCTGTCAAACTGCTTGGCACCAAAGAAAAAACATCCAATGCTAAGATGTGCAAGGTGGCACCCTCTAGATATATAGGCAAGTTGGTTTTAAACCAGTGTTTATGGCAAATATATCTATAGCTGAACGGTTCGTAAACTATTTGAAAGCTGGGGGCACTACATTGTACTTGTGAAGGTTAAGCACCCAAACCTTCTGGGGTTTAGTTTGGCACATTCTGAAGTTGGAAGGTTCGGAAATATATAGATGGTAGTCAGCTCATACTGGATGAGTGCTTCCACCAATAACCACCTATAGCAACAAGGGCTATAGGGCTATACCCTAGTACTAGCATGTCCTAGCACAAATCGTGAAGCTCAACTTCAGGCGTTCATAGAAGCAGCATGCCAGCATCTGACTTTTGACACTGTTCAGTTCAACATGGGTGTTGGACTCCCTTCTGCCAGTTGATTGTGAGGAATGCATGTGGCGTCTAACATTTTAGCGGAAGGAGGCACCCGCATCATTCCTAGTCACAAATATGCAATCATAAGTTCTTTCAAGATACGCGCATATTTCGTAACATTTCTGGTTGGTGGTTTTCACCATCTTGAAAAATATGACAGTCAATGGGAAGGATTACATACCATAAATGAAATGGAAAATAAAACATGTTTGAAACCACCAACCCGATTTATAAGATGGATATAATGAAATATCCATATATATATATATAAATGCACATGCACATATATATATATATATACACATATTATACGCATATTCACAGGATTCCTTGTTTCTCAATGCTGTCAGTGTGGTATTGCCGTTCTGGTCGAAACGGCGCCCACTTGGCTCCATGCATATTTTTATGGCTTCAACCACTGTTCAATAAAGGGGCATACAAGGAACATGGTGGGTAAACAAATATGAAAGCACTGCAAAACATGTTTTCAAGAAAGGAAAAACATATCACCAACGCTGTCCAACACCCGTTTTTTTGCATTCATTTGGAAGATTTGATGGCCGCTTCAATTTCATCGATCGCATCATCACCTGTAGCAGGGCCGCAGCGTTGTGGAATGTGGTGGATCTGCAGGCCCCACCAAGCGACGCAAAAAAAAGCAAACAATGGGGATTTCGACCCCAGTCGTTGCTATTTGAATGGGGAAAATGCTAACGCACCAGTGGCTGGAATGGGTGACCTTATTTTCAGAAACAACAACGTGATCACACGGTTGCATTTTGAGCAATTGAAGATCACCCTCGCAGGAAACAGGCCAACACATGAGATTGTCTATCACTAGTGAGCTATCTTCCGCCAGAAAAGTCAGCATGTAGTGAAGAACCGTCTTGATTTTTTTCTTTTGATGATCTTAACCGGGATTGGCGGGGCCAAGAATCACCATCGACCCATATGTTTCGAGTGGCAGAGGCTTTTGCGGCCACCATCGGGATTGCAAGCTACGCCCACCAGCTGTAGAGGTTTCTGCTCAATGCAAACCTTTGGTGGCCAGTCGCATCAAATTTCAGCTGGTGCCCAAGATCTTGACAGTGAAGGAGAATGGATAATGGGATAGCCGGATATATCCGGCATAACTGCGGAATACAACTACATAGATATCAAGGGCCCAACAAAAAGGGTACGCGTTGAGGATACCTGAATGATGTCATAGGGCTCTTGATTGGGCCATGTTGCAATTCCACAAGTTGACTCCGTCTCGTCATGATCCATGACAGCGAAAGCAACACGTCCTGATGAATCGCCTCAGCGATAGGAACATGCGTGAGAAACATGGGACCCCAAAGGCCCACCACTTATCAAAAGTTGATATAGATCATCATTAGTAGTTACACACATAAAATCCCCCACTGCATCCCTAAGCATGTTCTGGTGGCAAAACTCAGGGTTCAAACTCGGGTATGCTGAGGAGCACGAACTTTGCAAGGCGGCTTTTGCCAAAAAAACGCGTTTCAAGACCTACATCACAAAACAAGACTCTGATTGCATCGTGATTTTGACCTTTTCCAAAATGTCAGCCACTTGTATTTCATCCTTCACCGGCAAAGGATGTAGAGTGAAAGAAACTAGCAATGAGAAAGTGCGAATGCAGCTCGCCGGGGCCTGTTCTTCCTTTGTTCCATCAAGCAAAACATTAATTGGTTGTGTTCGTGTGCTTCTCAAAACTGCCAAATGTGCCGTCCAGATGCTTGTTTTGTATTGCCAAAACTTTTTTTGTTGCAAAAGAATCCTCTGCGCTTTTGTTGAGTAAGCCTAGCAATGTCTATTATTTTCTATACGTAGCTAACGCTAGGGTCTGCTTCTTCATTGCAAGCATCTTTCTATAGTGACCCCGTTTTTGACTAAAAATCGAATACATCAAATTTTCCACGCGCAACATTGCGGAACCATTTGCCTTACCAGCAGCACCCCCCACTTTTTGAGGTCCTATGAGATCTCATAGAAAGTGGTACCAAAAACAGCATGGTTGGGATTATGTACTTTTTGGGTCCTTTGGGCCGAAAAGGAGCGTTCCACAATACGATCTACAGATGTACTTTTTGGGCCCTTTGGAACAAAAAGGACCATTGCACATATATACATATCAACTCTGATCTCGCTGCCTTTGGCCAATGGGGGGTGGTTGCTGAACCCGGCTTAGCACCATGCATTGGCTCGAAAATCGCTCAAAAGACGTCAGCTGGAAAAAAAGAAAAGAGAAGTTGTCCCTTGAACTCTATGGTCCCAAAAGCCACAGTCTCCAGCATGACCAGTTCCTCGTGAGGATCCAAAAAAGGACCTAGAAAAGGAACCTAAAGGACTCAAAAGCAACATCGGCAAGGGAATTTGGAGCAAAGCGTGAACAGCCCACTTTTGATGCAATATTTTTTGCGCTGAATGTCTAAGCCAGAGAACGAAAACAGTAAATCAGGACAAACAATGATGAGCTTGACACAAATATGTGTCAGCTTCCTCAGGGAATGGTAAGTGGTATGCTGAAACTAGACATTAGCACTGTAATACCAATGCTATACAGAACCCTCGGCCGTAGAATCTTCTGAATGTTGCAAAATCCCCTTTTAGGATCATTCTGATCTACAGCCCAGGTGCTGGAGCCCGCCAAGAGATCGTCAAGGCTCATCACCTGAGCAACGGGTGGTGCTGGGGGAAGCTGAGGAGTTGTGAGCTACTCATCTACAAGTAGCGCAATGGCTACAATACCTAGACTCTACTACATTGGTTTCACTAGAACTTGTCGTTGTCGTTGTCGTTGTTCTTGTTATTGTTCTTGTTGTTGTTGTTGTTGCTGCTGCTATTGTTGATTGCGTCGGTGCGTTGATGCGCCGATGTTTAGAAGAATACCAGCCCCAAATGAAAAACCAGCCTTCAAGGGTAAACTCTTGAAAACACGCTCTTGGAGGGGAAATCACCCGCAACATTTACTAAATAATCGATGGTTAGAATCCGTTCCCCGTCCTAAAAAAATACGCTGCTGCAGAAAACTCGGTCTAGTGTTGGCCTAATTCAAATTTGAGTTGTCTCCCGGAAATTCCTAGGTGGTAACAGCCCCTTGCCAAGTTTCTTTGCTGGCAACATCAGCACCACACCTGCTAAGTGCAAACTGCGCACTTTCACCATGTTTCGGACTCAAGAACTTAAAATCCGTTGCTGTTGCAACCATACATAAAAATGGGCCTGGCACAAATATTTGTTTGGACTATATTGCTAGGTTGCAGGGAATGAGGCTGTTATATGGGCCTTGTTTTTCATGCTGCAATCGCAAAAAAGTTGAACCATCACATGTGTTTTACCCGGCAGTGGCCAACCAGCACACAAAGACATCGTGCAACCAAGAATAATCATTCTACATTTTCAACATGTTTCAACAAAAATGTGCAAGCATGTATATTAACCTTAGAAATTACCTTCTTGGGATTGCTACAAATGCACACACCTTTTGTGAAAGTGCCTTGGCAGCTGGGCAGCCCAGTCCGCCAGGCGCCGAGCGGTGCGTGAGGGCGCGAAGGCGTCGCGGTGAGGAAGGCCTGTTGGGTCATGGACTGAGATTGAACATCTTTGTAAGCCTGGATGAGAACCATGCCTAAATTAAAGTAAGATCTGTAAGATCTACGTCTGTATTTAAATACAATTACCCAACATCTGAAAGTTGGATTGCTCTTCTTAAGAAACAGCAAACAAAAAACTTCTACCATCATGACAAAAAATCAACATGTCAGCAATGAAGGATGCCAAATGACATGTAATCAAACATTTCCAACAGTTACATAATGATACAAGAACCGGCAGGAAGCCTTCGGGGACTTGACCAGCAATCAATGCAAGTAACAATAAATAAATAGGATGTAACAGGATAACATAGAAAAAACTACAATATGGTCTGAGTCTGCGAGAACATATGTATGCATACCGAAGAAATGCACGAAACAAATGTGGTGAACCTAAAGGAAAACCTTCCCCCAGAAATAGGTTGCATAATCATGTGTGTTCATGCCCAATTGGAAACTTATTGTTCGGCCACCGCATTATTTCAACCATGCATTAAAAACAAATATAATTATAGTGATATAAGTTGTGACGAGATAAAAGGTAAATCAACCCATACACACTAATTCGGCCAATCATGAACCTCAACATCATGTTCATAATTATTTCAGTTTTCCATACGATGTTTCATGATGTTTCCATCATCCTTGCGGACATCTTGGCTGGCCTTGTCCCACTGAACGCCAGGCGCCCGGTTTCACCGCCGGCTGCAACTGCGAGGCCCAGGACAACTGCGAGGCCCAAGTCTGCAACTGGGAACGGGCTTCATCACCTGGGGGGTGGTTCTTAGATAGGCTGCGGAGGTTGCTAGCTGGTTTGTATCTGGGCTATTTAGCGCGGTGTATTTGGAGGCGCTAGATCATTTTCCTGCTCGAGAGATGCCTTGCCCAAAAAAGAAGAATTGGCCATCAATGGGCGGTTCAAGATACACTGTGATAGACTGTGACAGTGATATTCAACACTGTCAGGGGGATAGCGTGCACACATTACAAACCTTTGATCTCAATCTTTGAAGGTCGTCTTTACACATGAAGCTTGCATAAGCTTGATGGTTCAACTTGATTCAACCATCAGTAAAAACATCGAAAAAAAAACTACTCAAGCAGTGGTAAATTGCTTGTCCTTTTCTTTTTTGAGAAAACTATTCAGCCCCATTCCACGAACCATTCGCATTTCATGGCCAGGAAACGGCGTAGCACCCGGCACTTCACGCGCCTCCTTTCCCGCGGCGCCACCTTGCGCGGTGCTTGTCTTCGTCTCGTGTCCTCCGCGTCCAACAGCCACAGGCGCAGCGTGGCGGCAACAGAATCGGGTGCCTATGAGTCCACTGCCGAGGGGTGAAAGGCAAAAAACATTATAACATGAGATATGAAAAATCTTGGTCTTATGGAGTTCTAAGTCCATAACTTGAGGTTGAGGTGTGATATGAGTCATGGATCATCAGGCATACTCGTGCACAAAGTGGGCTAAAAATATTGGGTTGGAATTGCTAAGACTTGGAGACAGGGGAGAATGAATTCAGCAAAAGTTGAAAATGGCCTAGGTGGCTGGCGCAGAAAACATGCACTTTCCGCCCGCTTGATTCTTATCTTCTCCACTTGTGCAAGGTGGACAAACAAAGCCGCCCACCGGCGGCACCGAAGGAAATTCTGAAGATGCATTGAGGGACTCTTATGATTGATAGATAGATAGATAGATAGATAGATAGATTGATAGATTGATAGATTGAGATATATATATGTGTGATCAGCAACCAAAAAAAGAAGCATCCGCCTTGGACAAAAACAAACATCGCCGCTAGGTTCTGGATACACATTTGTGGCGGATGAGCTACTGTAAGTGGGGCTCTAAGTTGTCGTGCCTCCAGATGCGCGTTGTGACCGCAGCCGCCCAACACATCTTCCGTGAAGCCAGTGCCATCTGGTTGGGCCAGAGCCCGCCATGCTGCAACACACTCCTTCAGGGCGATTGCCTACTGAAATTTCCAATGCAATGTGGTTTCAGGACGCCTTTCGAGTGAATGTCTAACTATTGACTATTGTTGGCTATCATTTCTGCCTATGCCCCCTCGTTTTTCTCTTCTATCTCCACTTGTTCGTGGTGATTCTGCATTTTGGGAGACATATCACCACTGTTATTGTATTTCAAGCAAAATGGAAAACATTACATTTGATTAGATGATGTTGGAATAAGATGGGTCATGGGGTGACATTGTGGTTACACCAAGTTGGCTGAAAAAATGATGAACCAATTTTCTTGGTTGTTGGTAAAATACCACAGTTACAACGCAATGCCGCGTTTATTTGTTTCACAGCACGTTGGAATAGGGAAAACCATGCCTGCAGCCGTCCTCCGTCACAAAATCATGCTGCCCCCGCAGGCTCAGCACAGGCGCCTGGCACCCGCTGGTTGCCCACCGCCGCAGCTCCGCAGTGGTGAGGCTCCAGCCGTCCAAGGCCCCTGCGAAGTAAGTGGCAGGCGGTGCTTGGAAGATCCGCAGGAAGATACGATACGAAACATGCAGGCTATAGCTGTGCATATAGATGGCGTTGTCTTATTGTTTACAAATTCGGAATGAAGCGAATATATAGTCAATTGCGATGGCACGGGCCCCGCCGGGCTTCGTGGCGAAACTGGATTCGACCGGCCTGCGCCACGCAACTGCCAGCCTCCAGTAGCACCGCCGGAGCCTAGCTTCCACTCAAAGCCTGACAAACAAGAATCCGGCTTCAACCAGCGAGAATCGGATTTTGACCACGGAAGTGGGATGGAACAAACCAAAGAATGCTTCAACGATCACCAAATATATGTGGATGTAACCCATTGGGTTAATAAAGGGTTTCATCAACAAACAGCAGGGCCTACCCAACGTACATTGTGGCTTGACAAAGAGCAAGTGTGGATGTTACCCAACAAATATTGTACCCGCGCAGATCGGACAAATGGGAATTGGCTGAACAGCCTGAGTTTCCCAAGATCAAACTCCACATCGGCCAGGATCACCACCACCCACCCAATATTTCATGGACAGCCAGTACTTGCACCAAGTTGTCAACTACACCGCCCTTGATGACTTTTTATGAGTCTGGTGGTGGCTTTACTCCTTCGGGTGTGGACTAACAATTCATGCAAAGGCCCTCCAACAAACGTCTGCTTCAGGATGTTTTTTGAACATATCCCAAGTATCAAGTCATCTCATCAAAGCTGAAACTAGAAGAGGGGCCACTTGATCCCCTTCCACTTTTCCGCGCGCCTCGAAGGGCGCCCCACCGACGCCCCGCAGATTGCCTGAGGGAACCACCGTTGATGCACCAGACCATACCTTACCAAGATTCAAAACTGTAAAGGTCCCTTTCAGGTTGTATTGGAAACATGTCCTGAATCATGTTCCCCAAAGTTGCTGGTAAATTTGAAACGAAGAAAAAAATCCTCAGCCAATCTGGAAATTACGCGGGCAAAAGTGAGTGTTGCTGGCATATCATCGAAAGTACCCTCAGAAAAGGACCGCCAGAAAGCGTTCTGAAACAATGACGGTGGTTGCTGGTACGCATCGGCCAGGCATCGTGGCTGAGGCTTCAAAGCGCAAACGTGTCCTGAGGCCAAGGAAACAGGCCCTTATGTGACGTATGAAATGGGACCCTCTATGACTGATCTATTGCCTCTGAACATGTCCGAATCCTGATTTGTTCCACCATAGATTGTTGTATTACTGTTGCTTTGAAAGGGCCAATGCCCCGATCCATGAACCGTGGTTTAGCCTCCTGCGTGCTCGATGCTAATACCGTAAAGTTCAATTTACTTTACTTCGAGTTATCCCCACCATGACAACTATACGTTTTGTTACTGGCAAATCTTCTGGCATTCTATCTGACATATCTTCTGGCATTTTATCTGGCATATCTTCTGGCATATCTTCTGACATTCTATCTGGCATTCTATCTGGCAAATCTTCTGGCGTTCTATCTGGCAAACATTTTGGCACTTTATCTGGCATACCTTCTGGCATTCTATCTGACATTCTATCTGGCATACCTTCTGGGCATTCTATCTGGCATATCTTCTGGCATTTTATCTGGCATATCTTCTGGCATTCTATCTGGCGTATCTTCTGGCATTCTACCTGGCATATCTTCTGGCATATGTTCTGGCACTCTATCTGGCATATCTTGTGGCATATCTTCTGACAATCTATTTGGCATTCTATCTGGCAAATCTTCTGGCGTTCTATCTGGCAAACATTCTGGCATTTTATCTGGCATATCTTCTGGCATTCTATCTGACATTCTATCTGGCATACCTTCTGGCATTCTATCTGGCATATCTTCTGGCATTCTATCTGGCAAACATTCTGGCACTTTATCTGGCATATCTTCTGGCATTCTTTCTGACATTCTATCTGGCGTTCTATCTGGCATATCTTCTGGCATTCTATCTGGCCGTTGAGGTCCAGCGGTGCTCACTGAGCTCAGAGGGTCCCAGGTTGAGGTCCAGCGGTGCTCACTGAGCTCGGAGGGTCCCAGGTTGAAGTCCAGCGGTGCTCACTGAGCTCGGAAGGTCCCAGGTTGAGGTCCAGCGGTGCCCAGTGCGCTCAGACCCTTGCAGTTGAGGTCCAGCAGTGCCCACTGCGCGCGGAAGTTGGCGAAGAGCAAGGCGGAAGTGAACATGGGAGTGGATGCAAAGGTGGTGGAGGAGAAGCTGGAGGAGAGGGAGGGGGAGGAGGAGGAGGAGGAGGTGAAGGATGAGGAGGAGGAGGAGGCGGAGGAGGAGAACAACTGTGATAAAATCTAACAACCCTCACCTGGCAGGTGGGGAAAAAACATTATTTAGTAACGGCCAAATGCTACTCAAATCCCAAGGTTCGGTTTGCTCCCCCCCTTTCAAAACTATGTCTTGCAGTACCAGCACGTGTGCGCACATTTGTTTCAAACGAAGAAAAATCAACCCTCACAGTTTCTGCACGCAAAGATAAATGGTGATTTAGCAAAAAAAACCTTTTAAAGACGGACATGTACAAGCCAACTATATCAACCATGTTTGATCATCAGGACATATCAACGACTCCTCCTGCTTCCCCGCCCTACGGCTTGGAGCATCATTCTAAGATTCGAAGGGTTAAGATGTAAAAGTCTGTAAAAGTCAATAGGCCATTGTTACTCAGCGCCCTACCTAAGGATCATCTCAGGCAAACTAAATAAACACACAAAAATTCATGATTTGTTCATCATCCATGTGCCGACACCCGGTTCATGACTAACCCTGCCACCAATTCCGTTAAGTTTTTTCTCAAATCTGGTTCATGGCTTCACCCCCTAACACGTTGCGAATCCGACTGGCGAGACGAACCCATGATTCCATGATCCACTTGTCACCCAGGTGCGGTACCAGAAGGCCCTGGCCGCATCGGCGGCGCCCACGCTCTCTGCTGCCGCGTTCATCAAGGTGGTGGCTGCGCGATCCGCGAGGAGGGTGGAGCTGGAGACGCTGAGCCTTGGAACTTGGGAGAACGTCCTAATGGTCAGACAAGAAAGAAAACCAACAGTATCTGGAGAACAAACATCACGGTTTCATTGCCCAAGATCGGGATGTACCACTCAGGAAATCATAATTTAAGTAATTAACTGAGTAATTAATTAATTAATTAATTAACTAATTACAAATTACTTTACTTCGTGCGATCCCCACCATGACATTTATACATTTTCTTACTGGCAAATCTTCTGGCATTCTATCTGACATATCTTCTGGCATTCTATCTGGCATTCTATCTGGCATATCTTCTGGCATATCTTCTGGCATTCTATCTGGCATATCTTCTGGCATATGTTCTGGCATATCTTCTGGCATATCTGATGGCATTCTATCTGACATATCTTCTGGCATACATTCTGGCATTCTATCTGGCATATCTTCTGGCATTCTATCTGACATATCTTCTGGCATTCTATCTGGCATATCTTCTGGCATATGTTCTGGCATATCTTCTGGCATATCTTCTGGCATTCTATCTGGCATATCTTCTGGCAAATGTTCTGGCATATCTTCTGGCATATGTTCTGGCATTCTATCTGGCATATCTTCTGCCAAATTATCTGGCAAATCTTCTGGGATTCTATCTGGCATATCTTGTGGCAGTCTATCTGATATTTTATCTGGCATTCTATGTGGCATACCTTCTGGCATTCTATCTGGCATATCTTCTGGCATTCTATCTGGTATATCTTCTGGCATTCTATCTGGCATTCTATTTGGCATATCTCATGGCATTTTATCTGGCATATCTTCTGGCATTCTATCTGACATTCTATCTTCTGGCATTCTATCTGCCCGTTGAGGTCCAGCGGTGCACACTGAGCTGGGCAGGTCCCAGGTTGAGGTCCAGCGGTGCACACTGAGCTGGGCAGGTCCCCGGTTGAGGTCCAGCGGTGCACACTGAGCTGGGCAGATCCCAGGTTGAGGTCCAGCGGTGCACACTGGGCTGGGCAGGTCCCAGGTTGAGGTCCAGCGGTGCACACTGAGCTGGGCCGGTCCCAGGTTGAGGTCCAGCGGTGCACACTGAGCTGGGAAGGTCCCAGGTTGAGGTCCAGCGGTGCACGCTGAGCTGGGCCGGTCCCAGGTTGAGGTCCAGCGGTGCACACCGAGCTGGGCCGGTCCCAGGTTGAGGTCCAGCGGTGCACGCTGAGCTGGGAAGTTGGCAAAGAGCTTGGCGCAGAGAGTCGGCGAAGAGAGTTGGCAAAGAGCTGGGCGAAGAGTTGGCAAGGCGGAAGTGCAGGTGGAAGTTGATGCAGACATGGTCGAGGAGAAACTGGAAGAGGAGGCGAGGAGGAGGACGAGGAGGAAGAGGAAAGCTAGTCGAGGAGGAGGAGGAGGACGACGGGAGGAGGACGAGGACGCGGAGGAAGAGCGCTCTGATAAAATCTAACAACGCTCACCTGGCAGGTGGGGAAACATATGTATATATGCATATATAAACTTAAAACAAGGATGCCGGCTGTCTCGCCGCCCCCAGAAGGGTCAACGACTGATTTGCCTTGTTTTTTTTTTTTAATTTGCTTCTCGCTGTGGTTTCGGAGTGATTCACTGTCTGTTTCACCTGAACCAGGGCTTCAAATTGACTGTGTTTTCCAAGGCTTTTTGTTCTTCTTTTCAAACGTACTGGTTTTTTCCATGCAAACGAAGGGTTTTTTTAAGATCCGAAAAAAAAAGTCTATTTTGTGAAGTTCATGCAGTAGATATATATATATACACACACATATATATTAGCTAAACCCAAAAGGTCGCTGCGGCCTGTTTTTGAAGTTATTTAGACGTATTGAACGTGGGGGGGCGTACGGCCATCTGAGCGAGGGTACGGCGGGCGAACGGGGGGGGAACGGGGGGGCGAACGGGGGGACGAACCGGGGGGCGAACGGGGGGGCGAACGCACACATGCACACACGTACGCACATACGTACGCACAGACGTACGCACGTACGTTCGCACGTATGCACGTACGTAGGTACCATGTTCAGACCCATGTTCAAGCCCATGTTCAGACCCATGTTCAGAAATAAGGTTACCTTTGAAAAGTGACCTCCTAATACTAAATATGCTTTAGGAGGCTTAGGGTCGTACAGAAATAAGGTTACCTTTTACATAAAAGGTAACCTTAAAGGTAACCTTATTTCTGAACATGCATGTGAACGTGCGTGCGTACATGCACATGAACGTGCGTGCGTGCATGCGTACGTACGTGCGTACATGCGTATGTGCGACCCCTTCGTGCGACCCCTTAATGCGCCCTCAAGGGGGTGGGCCCGCCCTCAAAATTGCACGGGTTTCGAATACCAACAACTTTGTACCAGTATTCTTGGGTTGTATAAGTAGGTGTAAAATAATTCGGCACAGGTTGACTGTACTAATTATCACCAGGCAAAACAAGACTAGTCGAATCGTTCGCCCGTCTGCTCGCCCCCCCGCTCGCTCGTGCGGGCGTTCGTCCACCCGTTCGCCCGCATGTTCGCCCCTACGTTCGCCCCCCCGCTAACTCTTCGTGCGGTTTTCAACATATCCACGGCAGCGAGTTTTTGAGTTTAGCTAACATATATATATATATATCTATCTATCTATATCCATGTGCTTGTACATCGAACGCTCAATATTGTGATTTCAATGCGAGACAACGACAACACGTCGAATGATGAATCGGCTAGTTCTTTTCTGCGTTCTCTACAAGGAACGTTAACATGCCCCACCCCACCCCAACCCTTCAGACAAGGAACGTTAACATGCCCCACCCCACCCCAACCCTTCAGTTGCGTAGCATTACAACATGGTCAACATGTGTGCAAATTGCAAGGAACGTTAACATGCCCCACCCCCCCCAACCCTTCAGTTGCGTAGCATTACAACATGTGTGCAAATTACAAGGAACGTTAACATGCCCCACCCCACCCCAACCCTTCAGTAACGTGGCATCCAACATGTGTGCAAATTACAAGGAACGTTAACATGCCCCACCCCACCCCAACCCTTCAGTTGCGTAGCATTACAACATGTGTGCTACTTACAAGGAACATTAACATGCCCCACCCCACCCCACCCCACCCCACTTCAAAAATAACAACCCTCGTGGGGGCGGCGAGTCAGCCGCCCACCTAAAACAACATGCTAAACCCTTTACGGCAGTTAAAAACACACAGCTGGCATCACCCGGCCAAACTTTGGGATGAAGACCACAGAACACCCTGGCTTTCTATGGCGAAAAAGTGTCCGGGACGCTATTTCATTTTCCAACCATGATGCAACCAATAGTCAGGTTTGACCTTGGGCTGGGTTATTTTTCACCAACAGACAACGCAGCACGCACAAGGCAAATGGACGGTGAACGTGGATATGGGTATGGCTACCGCAAAGCAAAGCAAAGCAACAATGGGCCCACAAAATTGTTTGTGGTTTGTGTTCAAGCATTCCGGATTGATGTTGGCCCAAGCCAGCACAAAGGAATAAACAGAGTAGAAATCATGGTACAAGAATTGAAGTAATCGCAGCCAAGGAGGAAATTAAACCAATATAATTATATAATCAAAGATGACCAGTCTCTAGTTTTATGCTGGGGACACTTGTTTTGAAATACTGGGGGTCCCAGCTGACCGTAGCCATCTCCAGCTGCCAAAATCGTTTAAACCAAACCAAATCTCGGCACAGAATTATTATTCAAGGCACAAGCAAATGGACCGCAACTTTGGCAGTTCCCCCTCGCTCCAGCTGTCTTTCATCATGGTTTGCATCAACAATGCGCCTGGCTCTGGGTCGCAATGGCGTATACAAGAAAAATGGTGGTAAAAACAACGGGGGCAACAACATTATAACAGCAACAACGACAACAGCTGCAAAAACAGGAAGGATATACCTACTGAAGAAAAAACACTGCACACCGCAGATTGCAGCCTTTTTTGACTGGGTGAGCGCGAACGGCTAAAACAAAACAAGGGACAAACTAGGAGCTGACCCAAACCCAGCTGCACAATGATCCAAGGTGAAAGAAGGGTGCCTGACCGAAATCAACACCAAAGATGTTTAAAATGAAGTAAACAATTGCTACATCCAACAAAATAATGTAAGAACAAAACTGCCATGAGCGGCATTAGGCAATTGAAATCCAAGTCCGCTATAATGACAATTCCCGTGTTACTGGGCTCAGCGAGCTGGATGTACTTGAAAAACATGCAACGCCACTCAATGGAAACTCGCACGTGAGGTTCCAAGTGGTACAGGGTTTCGTGCATCCCTGTAAATATACGATCTACCAACAATAAGTTGCTTGCCAGGCCAGGGAACTCCAAACACTTCTTACTACACCAGGTGAACTAGGAAAATACAACAAACCCTGTTTGACTGGTTGGCAAAAAAAAATCATCTATTGTTACTAAACCAATCAGTACTGCTCTTACAGTACAAGAACGATTCAGTATGGGATACTATGGGTATTGAAAAATGTTCCGCGGAATGAATAAATACACATTGATATATATATATATATATATGTGTGTGTGTGTGTGCGTGTCTGTGTATATGTATTTACTTTGTTCTTAATATACAACTGCCGGCTGCCTCCAGAACCATGCGCGATGACATGGACGCTCTCCTGGCCAAGGTGCTGAAAGTGCAGGGGTTCCGAATATGTCTGCGGATCGCTGGTGGGCTGCTGGGTGATGCTGGTGGGTGGTTTCCATCCATCCAAACCTTTAATGCAAGTGGGCGTCACGCGGAAACAATATTTCCAATTAAGCATGGAAAGAAAAAAAACAAAGGTTTGGACCATGAAAACAACGAACTATCTCACACCCGAAAGATAAAGTCGCCAAACAAAAAACAATAACAACATTTCGATGTAATCCGATCATGTTCGATCAACGCAACCGTGCAATTTGGAAGTGGTTCCACCCTTGATTCATCAAAGCGTTAACCCACACATCGACCGTCGTTTGGTTTTTGAAACTACCCCGTGGTAGCAGGTGTTCTAATCACATGTTATTGGGCCTCTCATTTTGCAACATTCCACGCATACATGCCCGTAATTTCCGTTAAGCACCGGGTGTGTGCCTCACCAAGGGAATGCTTCAGAAACATCAAGACTTCGCGCAAGTCGTCCACCATGTGTTGCAAATCGTCCACGCTGTCTACATGGACAGATGGAAGATTGGAAGACAATCCGCAGCCAAGTTGGTCGTACCTGCCAATATGGTGAATGTTCACCTGTGTTCAACGGTTTAACCAGCAAAGATCGGGACATACGGGGATGCATGGCCGCTCAATTTGGAAAAATGAAAAAGGACCAGGGTTGTCACCACGATTTGTTTGTTTTCCTGTAGGTAAACGTTTAATCAATATTTGTGGCGTACTTGGAAATAATTTGCGGCACATTTCTGTTTGAATTTTCGGTGTGGCCTTCCCGAACCCTCACAATCAAACGGAGCACAGGCACCCCGGACAATCGAACCAACAAATGAAATCACATTCGTAATCACTTGGAAAAATGTGGCTGACAATGAAAATGTCACACTATAACATGCTGAAACAAAACTATTGTCTGCATATTGTCTGCTACCTCTTATATAACAATTTAATCCTGTTGTTTTTGGCATCGAACCTTGTCCGGACACATGACAGCGTTTGACACCAATTTGACATCATTTGACAAAACCAAACACAATCATCTGAAATTCAGTGACTTTAACAAATCCGGGGCAAATATGAAAATTCATGCAGGGGGCTGTGGAACTTTGATTTCGCATACGCATTGAAATCCTGATGATGGGCTTAATGCCACGGTGCATGTAGCAACTCCGCCCGTTGCTGCAAACTCGCGCGGCCAGAGGCTCCAAATATCCTTTGCTGCGTTGCGGTCTTCAAGTCTGCACCGATCTGACCGCCAATTTTTTTTTGAATTTATCCTCATGCATCAACAAAACAATCTCAACGTTCCAACCATGGAACTGTCCTTTTCATTCTGTCTTGATCCTACCTACCAAAAATGTGACATGTATGGAAAAATTTTCCACCTGGCACATTCCAATCGCGGGACGAGGATCTTGAAGGCAACCCCGGTCCATCATGCAGCAACAAAATCGGAGGAGGCGAAGGCAATCCTGAATTCAACGCTCGGTTCGGATCGATCCCTTTTGAAATGGCATTGTATGATATAAACGGGCGTGGGAACAAAATTCAAATGATACACGGTGAAATGACATAAATTGATACGGCCATGTGATGTGCAAATTTGAATGAAGACCAAGGGTATAACAAAAAACAATGAACGGCATCATGTGAACCCCATCTTAGTTCGACCAGTATTTAAATCATATTTGGCAATTATTCAACCGATCAATCATTGTAACAGATCAAACATATGCCCCACACCAGCCAACATTGATCATAATAATGCGAAGCATCCTTTTTGGAGGCGCTTCATCACTCCATTTTTGTCCTGGAATTCAACCAAAAATTGGGAAAGGCGGGGAAGAATAAATTTCAAAAGTGTTGTGTGATGTTGTGTGTTTGTTTCTTCTGCGGCTTTCACGCGCCACCAGCCACAGCCTTCTCAGAAAACTGGGTCAACAATCCCCGTGTGCATTCTGCAGGGTAGTTGTGCCAACTAAACCGTTTACAAACACAGCCTTATACTACAAACAAAATGCTGCCTTTATCTGGACCAACCCCCTTGCTACAAAATGCTTGGGGGATTTTGATGGTGGATCAAAAGCCAATGTGGGTCACTACAAAATGCATTTGCATAACCATTTTGTAGTGAAAAACGGGTTGCAGTGAAAAATCATGATTCTCTACTAAATGGTTTCTAGAAATTTCACTCTAAATCTTTGGTTCGCTATCCGGGGCCCAGGTCATAGCATTTGCCGAGCACAAGTAAATACAACCTTGGGATTTCAATCGGACTCCAAGAATTGACCTTTCAAGAGGTTTTCTACTAGGATGCTCAGAGCTAGGGCAACAAAAACGATCTAAGCGCACAACTTCAAATTCAATTGGTCGGTTTTGAACCAAATCTGTCCTTCTTTCCTTCTTAAAGTCTCTACAAAAAAAGCATGTTTTTCGGACCTTGTGGGGCTTATCTGGAAGGGGGACGCAGTAGGTTCTACAAAAGGTTGTGCGCGCGTGTGTCACTACAAAATGCAATGCGTGACAAAAAGTCGTCCAGAAACTAGGACATCACGCATCGAATCTGTGCTTTGTGGATGAAAGGAACTCTGAGCATGGATTCTCCGAACTTGGGTGAAACTTGACTACTGGACAAAGTCAGCAGGAGCCTGATCAAATGGGATACATTTAGATTATGACCAATAATCGCATGTAATGGCCAAAATAGGTGTGACAAAAACACGGCGCAGAGATTTTGAACTGCAATCGTCAGAGCTATGGGGCAGCAAAAACGATCCAAGCCCACAACTTCAAATTCAATTGAGCGGTTTTGAAACAAATCTGTCCCATGTTTCCTTCTTAAAAGTCTCTACCCTGAGTCTCGAATTCTGGTGTTTTTAGCAGCCCGTTAATTTACTTAAAATTTCAAATTTGCTAGGAAAACTTACTAGGACCGGGGCAGGTAAATTTATCAATTTACTAGCCCTAGTAAAATTTACTTTCAAGGTAATTAAAATGTACTAGCCAAGTAAATAAAGTTTACTAAGCAAGTAAATGTTTGATTTGTTTTATTTTTAACACGCATGTGTTATATTTTAAAAGCTAGGGGCAACAATTTTACTTGTGAGACGTTACGATAATTAGGAATTTTCAAAAACTAATTGAGACATGCGAGGATACCAGGGATGTTTTTCAGGTACTTGTGAGACTCTTAGTATACTTGTGGGAACCAAGAAGATGTTTTTAAAATCTTGAGGTTTAGTTTGAAATCTAAAGATTGTGGGACATTAGGTGGTCATTACAAAGCAAGTTGTAAGACTTGAAACTAATTCAAAGGTAGTTATTGGATTCTATACGGTATTATTTTGATCCCGAAACTGTTCGTGACTGTAGGATACTTGTGAGACGAAATCGAATTAAGTCACTTTTGTTTCCACATCCAGAGATGATTACTAAGATAAGATAGAGGTGAAGGCAAGTCATCACATGTACAATGCAATTGATAATTTCTAGTCATTGTTTGGCTTCCACCTCACAGGTAACTTTCACATGTAAGCGTCATTGTTTGTTTTTCACCTCACAATTTATTTCCACATGTAAGTGTCATTGTTTCGTTTGAACCTCACAAGTAATTTTCAACTGTAAATGTTATTGTGGGGTCTCAATATCACTCCTAAAATTCACATGTAGGTGTTTTTTCTTGGGTTTTAACATCAGAAGCAATTTTCACATGTAGGTGTTATGGTTTACCTTCAACCTCATAGGTAGTTCCCACATGTGAATGTGACTGTTTAATTTTGACCTCACAAGTAATTTCTACACATAAATTTTACACCCATATTTTTCAAGTCGGTCACTTTTTTTTTGGAGAAACAACACAGCAACAACGATGTTGAAAGAAAATCATTGAATATGGCTAAGTTCCTAATTACCTATGTTTCAAATCTTTTATTTAGATGAAAATTCACATGTTGCTGACTTATATCTGCTTAGCTCAACGCTGAACAGCAATTTCCACTTGTGAAAATATCATATAGTACAAACCACAAAAAATGAAAAACTTACGTTGTTCAAGCAATTATGCATGTGGGAATGTCTCAGAACAGGGGTGCCATAACCAAGTGCCCCAAACTCTTCTTTTTTAA